ACTCATTAAAACTCAAAGAGGAATATTTAGAAAAATTTTAAATCCTGATCTTATAAATTCTTTACTCTTATATTTATCAATCTCTAATACCAGGACTTTCAGTTTTTAATTTTAATTTTAAATTGAACTTTTATTTTGCTTGAGATTTAATTAAGTAAGATGTTATTGTTGAATTAACTTATTCAATCAATTACTGTATATTAAACGAAAAATAAAAACTGATATTGTTGTATTTTTATGCTTTTTTCAGAGGAAAATAAGCGATTCCTTTCATTAAAATTTAATTAAATTATTAAACAAATTTTAAATATTATTAGTGTACCTTACACACATTAACATCCACAAAAACAGAAAAAATCCACAAATTTTTTGCATTTTTCGACTTTTCCTGAGTACAAAAGAAAATATAAAAATATTTTTTGACAGATCTCCATACTTTCCCTCTGTTTGCTTAAAAGTATGATGCTTCTAACATTACCTTTATATTGAATATAATTCTAGATATAATATAAAATTATTAAAAATTTAAAAAAAAAAACTGCTATAATATAAATTCAAATTATGATTACTATTTTTAAAGTAACCTACAGTATTTGTTTTGGTATAAACTTTTTTACGTCCACATAAAGAATATTGCAAAACATATTATAGGTTAAAGTTATACACTTAATGTCTTAAGTATAGGGTAATTCGGAGCTATTATAAATTCCGTGATCAGTAAAAAGTTGTTAAAAGTGATTACAACCGAATATAATGCAAGTAAAAATTTTGCTAGTGGGTAATTGAAGTAAGTTTTAAAGTTAGAGAATTTTGTTATCAAAGTGCACCTATAAAATACACAGATTAGGAAAAGTTTAACTTAAAATTTACATAAATTTTGTTACTTTTTGTACACTTTTTTTACAAACTATCATTTATATAAAAATGCTTTTAAAGCCTTTCAATTTTTTTTTCAGAACATTTTTATCTCTCTCCTATAAACAGAGTTCAAACTGATTCTCTTTTGATTTACTGTATCTTTTTTGTGTAATACCTATTCCTCTCGAAGTGTTGAAGAAACAATTTATGGGAATCATTGAGGCACTTTCTAAGTTTTATAAAAAATTTTGATAGATTTTTGTAACATTTTCAAATCGATTCGGGTCTATAGCGTCATAAATATCACGAAAAAGAAAAGAGCAATCTGATTTTTAATTATAAATTTAACTTTGTTAATTTTCTTTTTAAATCCATTTTTCTAGATATAAGCTAATATTTTCTATGTTAAAATAATAAATATACGTTTAATAAAATAATTTTGTCACTTAAAAATTTTATTTGATAATTAATATTAAACTTATCAAATATAGAAGACTTAAAATAATGTTTTATATATATATATACTTGGTTAACTAACTTTTGGTTTTCTTGTATATATAATATACTAGCTGACTTATGTAATACATAAAGTATATAGCCTATATGTATTCTTACCTGCGTATATTCATACAAAATTATTTTAAAATTATATATGGCATTATTATAAATTTTTCTTTCCTTCCTAAAATGCTTTTTAAAAAATATTAAATTACTTTTTTAATATATTTTTTTTAAAAAAAATAAAATATATAATAACAAACTTTTTAAAGATTTTTATGTATATTTTATTCTACTTTAAAGTTTCTCTATCTAACTTTATAGACTTTAAAAAAATAAGAATAAATACTTTAACAATTTTTATCAGGTATTTGTTGGGTTTATGATTTTTCTTTAGAATTAAATTCGGTTTTTCTTTACGAAATTCTTCTTATCTTCCGTTTCATTCTTCTTACAAAATCTAAATTTAACATAAAAAAAAAAACTTCACTAAAACATTATCAAAACTCAGATATGTAAACTAGATAAAACAATATTCTGAGCCAATGTTTGTTTTATAAATGTAATAAAAATGTATGAATATTAAATGTAAATTATTTTAAATATTTTAAAAATTAATAGTCTTTATAATTAGACAAATAAATCTTTTTAGTAAATATTATTAACGACTTTTACAATGAAATTAATTATGTTTGTTTAAATGGAATATAATTAGTAATATTAATCATTAGAAACAATTTTTTTTTTAATTTTTAAGATTATAAATCACTTTTTAATTTAGGAAATTTTAAAATAAAAACAATTTTATTACAATCAGAGTTTTATTCATTTTAAATTATTAAATTAAAATTAAAATAGAGTTAATGGAAATATTTTTTAAACAAATGTAATTGCTTTATTGAAAGAAAATTTAATTAATTCTGATACAATCATAAATGAAAAATTTCATATAAAATTAATTTAAATGCTATAATTTAAAAGCTATATATTGTTTGCAAACAAATATATATGTATATAATTTTTGTTTGTATAAAAAAAATAAAAATTACCAAAGAAAAGTAGCAGAAAATAACTATTTTATACCTGACTCAAGTTACACGAATAGAATATTAAACATTCCATTATTTTTCTGTCACACATTTAGAATCACAAGAGACTTTGACTATACTGAGTTTCTCATGTCAATACAGCAATTCCCTTATAACAGTCTTAACCTTGAATGAACCATTCTATGGTTACATTACAGAATTCAACAAGAACGTCTACAGAATACAAATGACGGTATACAAATAACTAGCTTTATTGAAGATTACTTTAAGAATTTTCAAAGAAAAACCTTAAACCCTTATGCAATATAAAATTACTGTTATGATTAATTATTATAGAACCGATGTTGGAAGAAATTTTATTTTTGATCCATCTTCTTGTTGTTAAAACAAGCTGATATCGATTTAATATTATTATTGAACAGTATTATCTTTAATAAAGACGGCTTCGATTTCATATTAATGAATATTGGCGTCGAAAGTGTCAAATAATCAGCTCGTTATCCAATCTATCTTTCCAGTTTGACAGCCATTTATAAATCAATTTAAATATTAGAACGAGGTGAGAAATTGCGGTTGTTTCTACCGAAATTATTTTCATTATTAAATGATTAATCTCCATTAAAATGTCACAGTAAGTTACTATCAAATTCTTATTTTTATACAAAATTTTAATTTATTTTTCTACATTTTGGTCATAAATTTATAATGATGATAACCTTACTTTTTAATGACGTCTACTCTATATATATATATCAATTCTTCTTCTTTTATAAAATAGAAAAACTTTTTTTTTATTTTAAATACAATTGTAAATGTATTTTAATACCAAATATATAAAGGGAGATAAAGAAGAAAATAACGATCTTTTGTCTGCGATCATCAGGATCCGCATGGTTTCTTTCAAATAAGAACCAATATAGGGCACCCAATCAGTCTTCTGACAAAGCCATATGACAATTCTTTGTGTGTTGAGAAAATTTTGTTGAAATGGTTCTACTGATTACGATTGTCAAACCTAAGATATTTGCTTAACGATCGGGTATGCTTGACTTCCTTAGATATCATTCTTGGCTTTTCAATACCTTTTCGTATTCTTTTTCGAATATTAGAATTGCGACAGAAAAATCGCCATTCACAAATGAAATTTCGAATTTTTCAAGCATATGACAGGATTTTTTGATGAATAGTTGGACCATCAATTGGATTTTTTCAATGTAAACTACTATAAAATTCGTTCGATATAATTTTATTCTTATCTCCTTTAAATCGATTTCCACCCTTTCTACATCAAATTCAACAAGACAAAAACTCTTTACTACTATATTTTGATTTTTTAAAAAAATAATAATACATTAAATTAAATAATTGAAATTATGAATTATCGATATTTTAAACGTACAATTTTAAAATTTTACTAAATTTTAGTGATACAATCCATTGAAATTCTTATCTTTATCAATGGATAGTTTAACTGATCGTTTAATTTTTTAAAATTATTTTTCGACTTTATTTATTAATTTTCATATAAAACTATCCTGATAATGTACTATCTTCACCAGATACTTTTATTGTCATCTATTAGTATGATAGCGGAATAAAAAGTTTCATTTATTTTCTCATATTTCATATGAAACTCTGGACCGAAGCCAGAAAAATAATGATGGAGTTGTTTTGATGCGAGAAACAAAATAAAAAAAAGGAGAAAAATCCACATTTCCGCATCCAGTTTCCTGAAAGGAATTAATCATGACTTTTAAATAGTATTTAATAGAATATTTTTTTAAAATCTAGATATATATTAATGAAAAGTTATTAAGTACAGTACATCTACCTGATATACTCTGAAAAATGGATTTTTTTTAATAGAAAAAATATTTAAGAATAGAATCAATAAATAATTTTTGTAAAATGTAGAAAATAATCTTATATTTAGAATTCTTTTCTTTACAATTTTGCCGTTATTTATCGATTAAAACTATAGATTTTCTGTAAGTTTTACTGTATCCAATGATAAACGAGAAATATGATATTGCTTAACATCGAATATAAAGTAAATCGATAAGATTACGGACATATTAATATAAATGATCTCTATCTGAAAATTTACAAATAAGGTAATAGATTTATGTATATCAATCTGCATTATTGATATCCTTGCTTCTTATATCTCTAATGTAAATGGATATTTTTACTAAGTTTTACAACAAAAAAAAATTGAAATAAATATATAAGTTAAATTTCTTTTTAAAATCGTTTTTTTAATATCTACAGATATAAAAATATTAATAATAATTTCTAAATTTTTAAATATAAAATTAAGCTTACAGGTGCGAATTAACACTTGTTACGTCCTTAAGCTAGGAATTTCCCTGCCTAAAATAATTAATTTAACAATATAAGATCCTAAACTGTACTCTTGTAACGTGAAGACTTAAGATATAGTTATGTGTGTATCTATAGTTAAGCTTATGGGACCATTAAGATATTACAAGTATTATTGCTTCCATTATAATTCTATATTTATAAATTTATAATGTAAAAATTGATAAAATGTAGAAGTAAATTAAAGAAAATTTTTTGTTTTATATTTTATAGGAGAATGTCAACAATTTGTATGTAAAGAAAGTCTTTTCTGTATTAACTCTGCTTCTAAATCTTGTACTAAAACCAGACATTATTGCATTGATAAATCATTGGTATGTAACAGCCTTCCAAATTGTGGCATGGATGATTATAGCGACGAAGATAAATGTAAGTTTTTCCTTCTTATTTCTAAACATTAATTCAATTAAAACAAATAAAGAAGTGAATTCTAAATAATAGAAGATCATTATTGTATATTTGAAAGAAATTTTAATATTGTATAAATTTTAAAATTTCATGTAAACTAAATGAAAAAAGTACATATTTTTTTAATGTTTTAGGATAGAAAGATTTAAAAAATTCTTATTTAAAACTTAAATATTTTTTTTTAATATTTTAATTAATGAAATGAAAATATTAAGTTTAATTAATTAGTAAATATTTAAGTTAAATATTAATTTTTTTCTTTAATTAATTAAAAATATATAGTTAATCCCTAAAGTGATCTGTAACATTTATTTTTCTAAAAAAGTATTCAAATTTAAGTTAAAAAATGATTAAAAATTAGAAAATTTTGTAAGTATTAAACGTGATTTATTACATTATTTTAAAATATTTTCAGGTAATCTACCACTGGTAGCAGGTTGTGGAGGAGCTGCTGCAATGGTAGTTTTAATTGCTATCATCTCCATTTTTGTATATCGACGCCATGCGATCAGGAAATCACTTTCTCAAAGCCAGGGACTCACTATGCAGTTACGTCAACTAGAACATAGTCCTTCATTCGCAACGAGGCAAATAGGACATTTCTATTCCCAACCATCTGATATGAGGGCACCACACGAAGTCAATTGTAGCGTCCATAGCCACTATGATGTCATCATTAATAACCGTTATGGAGGATACCCCACAGAAGTTTGACAAAAGCAGCCTCTCGCTCTAGGGGAGCGAGGGGGCCGATGTTAAACGTGTCAGAAAACGTGCCTGGGATTTCGTTAAACTCGAAAATATAACATACAAAAATATATAAATAATGCCGATAAACATACAATACAATTTGTACATTTATCGACGTAATACAGAAGAATGTTCTATCTCTCTCTATATCTATCTCTCTACCTGTTGACAATGTACAAGTAATTGTTATATGAAATGTTTCATATAACATTACTCAGTCGCATGGTAAAACGTGCTTCACGATTTTAAACTATTTAAATATTTGGAGCAACAAAGAAATTATATTCAAAGAATATATATATATATATATTGTAGTTTTGTCTAAAGAAAAAGATGCTAGCTGATAATTCTTTCTATAATTTACTCTATATTAAAATCAGCAAATATATTTCTTATAAAATTTTATCCATTTAATTTACTATAAAATGTCTTAATCAAGATATTATTTAATGAATTAAAAATGTTTTATTTCTTTCGCGAGAATATTCTTCTTGTAATATAGCCATGCAATAGTCGAAATCTAAGAATTTAGTTCGAAATTGCACCATAGAACACCAATACGTGATTCTCATTAAGCCACAAAATGAGACTTAAAAAACTATATAAGAACAAGAAATAGATCTAAGAAATGGTTTAGAATTAAAGTGCAAGTATTATTATATAGAAAAATATAGATATAAATTGTATATTATTGCACTTTGTAAAGTATATAATAAGTAGAGTTATGATACTACCAGAAGAATGAAGTCTGAAAAGATTTTTATCTCTGCCTGGTTATCTGTAATATGAGAACAAAAAAAAATCACCGTTTTCTTAGAATATTTTCAAATTTGCACAAGTAGATTTCGGATGCTATATATTAAAAATGCAAATAATCCAACTATTTATTCACCAAAATGTCAAAATTTAAAATATTGTTTATAAAATTCAATTTAAAAAATGAAGTTAATGATACATGATGTAACTTTTTTTAAAAAAAAAGAACTTCAAATATTTAAGTTTTTTTCATATGTACGATATCGTAAAATATATTTATTTATTATATTTTTTTAAATAATTATATTAATTTTTTAATTAAAATTTAATTAAATCTTGCTCTGAAGACTCCATTTTTATGTCCTACAGGAGCAATAAAGTTTTTCATTAACTTATCAAAGTTTATATTTTCGGATCTTTCTTACATATTCGACAATAGAAATTTATGGAAATTTTATAAGGTTTATTATTCATTCGATGACTCATTCATATAATAAAATAATGCATAAATAAAAAAGATAAATGTGCTGAGCATTTCATACATGTTTTTTAGCTTCATATATATATGTCATATCATATCTATTGTTATATATAATTTTATTAAATTGAATCTTAAACAGTGTCTGATATACAAATGATGTATAAGATTTCGATATGCATCTAATGTAATCAACAGTTTAAAAAAAAAAATAGTTAAAGTTTTCTCTCGTGAAAAACAAAATGTTTTTGAAAATATGCAAGAAAAATTTTAAAAAGTAAATGATATTATGCAAAATTCGTTATAATACATATTAAAAAAAATTTGTTATGTTTTTGAATTCAAGAAATGTGTATCTGATTATGTGGAAAAATTAAAGATCGTTCGTTGAAAATATCTTTTAATGTCTCTTTTATTTTAAGTATATATTTAACAAACTTCAATTTATATCGTTTACTTGTTTATTACTCTCTTAGAATTACGGTGATTATACAAGCAATAATGCATATAGAAAACTTTACTGTAAAATTAAACTTCTTGTACAAGTCGACCCCCCTACAACACTGTTGATTATTCCGTTTTATATGAATTCCATGTTGTACGAGACACTTATATTTTACAAATACGTGAGCCGTTCACAGCCCGGCACACGTATTTGTAAAATATAAGTGCANGATTTCGGATGCTATATATTAAAAATGCAAATAATCCAACTATTTATTCACCAAAATGTCAAAATTTAAAATATTGTTTATAAAATTCAATTTAAAAAATGAAGTTAATGATACATGATGTAACTTTTTTTAAAAAAAAAGAACTTCAAATATTTAAGTTTTTTTCATATGTACGATATCGTAAAATATATTTATTTATTATATTTTTTTAAATAATTATATTAATTTTTTAATTAAAATTTAATTAAATCTTGCTCTGAAGACTCCATTTTTATGTCCTACAGGAGCAATAAAGTTTTTCATTAACTTATCAAAGTTTATATTTTCGGATCTTTCTTACATATTCGACAATAGAAATTTATGGAAATTTTATAAGGTTTATTATTCATTCGATGACTCATTCATATAATAAAATAATGCATAAATAAAAAAGATAAATGTGCTGAGCATTTCATACATGTTTTTTAGCTTCATATATATATGTCATATCATATCTATTGTTATATATAATTTTATTAAATTGAATCTTAAACAGTGTCTGATATACAAATGATGTATAAGATTTCGATATGCATCTAATGTAATCAACAGTTTAAAAAAAAAAATAGTTAAAGTTTTCTCTCGTGAAAAACAAAATGTTTTTGAAAATATGCAAGAAAAATTTTAAAAAGTAAATGATATTATGCAAAATTCGTTATAATACATATTAAAAAAAATTTGTTATGTTTTTGAATTCAAGAAATGTGTATCTGATTATGTGGAAAAATTAAAGATCGTTCGTTGAAAATATCTTTTAATGTCTCTTTTATTTTAAGTATATATTTAACAAACTTCAATTTATATCGTTTACTTGTTTATTACTCTCTTAGAATTACGGTGATTATACAAGCAATAATGCATATAGAAAACTTTACTGTAAAATTAAACTTCTTGTACAAGTCGACCCCCCTACAACACTGTTGATTATTCCGTTTTATATGACGTCCTTAAGCTAGGAATTTCCCTGCCTAAAATAATTAATTTAACAATATAAGATCCTAAACTGTACTCTTGTAACGTGAAGACTTAAGATATAGTTATGTGTGTATCTATAGTTAAGCTTATGGGACCATTAAGATATTACAAGTATTATTGCTTCCATTATAATTCTATATTTATAAATTTATAATGTAAAAATTGATAAAATGTAGAAGTAAATTAAAGAAAATTTTTTGTTTTATATTTTATAGGAGAATGTCAACAATTTGTATGTAAAGAAAGTCTTTTCTGTATTAACTCTGCTTCTAAATCTTGTACTAAAACCAGACATTATTGCATTGATAAATCATTGGTATGTAACAGCCTTCCAAATTGTGGCATGGATGATTATAGCGACGAAGATAAATGTAAGTTTTTCCTTCTTATTTCTAAACATTAATTCAATTAAAACAAATAAAGAAGTGAATTCTAAATAATAGAAGATCATTATTGTATATTTGAAAGAAATTTTAATATTGTATAAATTTTAAAATTTCATGTAAACTAAATGAAAAAAGTACATATTTTTTTAATGTTTTAGGATAGAAAGATTTAAAAAATTCTTATTTAAAACTTAAATATTTTTTTTTAATATTTTAATTAATGAAATGAAAATATTAAGTTTAATTAATTAGTAAATATTTAAGTTAAATATTAATTTTTTTCTTTAATTAATTAAAAATATATAGTTAATCCCTAAAGTGATCTGTAACATTTATTTTTCTAAAAAAGTATTCAAATTTAAGTTAAAAAATGATTAAAAATTAGAAAATTTTGTAAGTATTAAACGTGATTTATTACATTATTTTAAAATATTTTCAGGTAATCTACCACTGGTAGCAGGTTGTGGAGGAGCTGCTGCAATGGTAGTTTTAATTGCTATCATCTCCATTTTTGTATATCGACGCCATGCGATCAGGAAATCACTTTCTCAAAGCCAGGGACTCACTATGCAGTTACGTCAACTAGAACATAGTCCTTCATTCGCAACGAGGCAAATAGGACATTTCTATTCCCAACCATCTGATATGAGGGCACCACACGAAGTCAATTGTAGCGTCCATAGCCACTATGATGTCATCATTAATAACCGTTATGGAGGATACCCCACAGAAGTTTGACAAAAGCAGCCTCTCGCTCTAGGGGAGCGAGGGGGCCGATGTTAAACGTGTCAGAAAACGTGCCTGGGATTTCGTTAAACTCGAAAATATAACATACAAAAATATATAAATAATGCCGATAAACATACAATACAATTTGTACATTTATCGACGTAATACAGAAGAATGTTCTATCTCTCTCTATATCTATCTCTCTACCTGTTGACAATGTACAAGTAATTGTTATATGAAATGTTTCATATAACATTACTCAGTCGCATGGTAAAACGTGCTTCACGATTTTAAACTATTTAAATATTTGGAGCAACAAAGAAATTATATTCAAAGAATATATATATATATATATATATATAT